TGAAACAACTTAGCCTCCATTGAAAATAGTGAGCTCATGACTTTTAGGTTCTGCTGCCAGTTTAAACACCGAAACCCTCTTGAGTTTTGGCTACCTGTTTGTTTTCAAATGCTCTTGATTATATTTGAAACTGTTCCAATCTGGGTCTATAGTTGACAAAAGTATAGAGATAACAACAAGTGTGTGGTGTTGATTGTTGGATTATTCTGATTGTAAATATGATTAGACACTATCAAGATTTGAAACCCTGTACTGTCAACATCACTTGGCAGTATAAATTATGTTTTAAGTAGTCTTTTGAAGACATGCATTTAAATAATGAGCTTTACTCACCTTTACAACTGGCTTTGCAACTCTAACATTTGTATTTTATATTAAGGTTTATCTAAATTCACAAATATTGAATATGTCTTTCTGGCAGATCTTCTGAATTTCTGTCTTTTTAATTTTTGCCATTTTGTTATTGCGGTAATTTATTTAAAAAAGCTAGTTTTGGTTTTATAACTTCTTTTGTTTTGCATTTGTTTGGAGTTAAATGTCCTAAATGTATATCTTATCAAGAGTATTTGTTGATTGTATCTCAGGGAGCATTCACTGTTGGGTTTGGAACAGTTTTGTACTAATCCATCCAAAACGTTTGGATATCATTAACAGCAGAGGTAATGCAATAAGAATATAAGAGGTGGCAGTAAACACCTACATCAACCTAAAGGGCTGGTAATGGACTAATAAGACCAAACCTCAGTTAATCACACTATGAACCCCTCCTCTCTGCAGGCTTGACGATGGGTTGCGTCAGGAGTAAAGAGGACAAGGGCCAGGCGCTGAAGTGCCGAACCGACAACTCTAACACGCCCACCAACGCCCACCTGGGCCACTACGGGCCGGACCCCACCCTGATGGGTCACTCCCCCGCCATGAAGACACACAACAACAGCTACAACAGTCACGCCGCCTCCCTCACACCCTTCGGGGGGGCGTCGTCTATCATGACTCCCTTCGGGGGGGCGTCCACCTCCTTCACCTCTGTGGCCGTGAGCAGCCCCTTCCCAGGAATCATCCCAGGTCAGTGTGAGGAGTTAACGTTTCAGAGGGAAGGGCACAGGGCATTTCAGGAAAAAAGGTTTGGAATTTCCCTAAAAAAATCAAATCAATTCACAAAACGTTGGGTCCCTTTGCCCCGTGAGAAAAGGAAACTTATTATCTGTTTCTATTCAAATACAAAATGAAGTATACATATTTACTCAACTAATTTGCAATCCTAATACTTGCCCAACATTTCCCTCTGCCATTTCCTAAATTAAGAATAAACTCTGCTTATTATGCGCAGGACCATATGAGCAGCAGATGTTATGCAAATAGGAACTTTGAAATGAGTCAGCCCAAACATCCAAGGCCAAAGAGAAACCCAAAATAAGTCAGTAACATGAGAAGCATCACAGCAGGGTGGCTTCCCCCGGAGCCAGAGGAAACATTTACATCCAACCAATACAATGGTGTTTGTCATGTTCAAGTTTTTATATTAAACAACAGTGTGCTTGGAATTAGGGCTGGGCGATATATCGAGTTTACACGATACATCGTGGATTGCACTACATGCGATGTCGTAAATGACCACATCGTGAACATCGAGTTTTATGTTGTCAAATCAATTTCCCGCCGCGGCCAAAATGAGCTTTCCTTTCTCCCTCATAGACACAGTNGGAAATAAGGTCTGTGGAAAACAAACCTGTTTGATAAATGCACGTTTTGTTCAGCCGGATAATATCCACATGTCTACCCTTACTTTTATTAATTTTCGAATCATAAATCTAATCGATAGATTATAAAATGGTTTTAGGAGGCGTCACTGCACCACTAGAAGCCAACTCCATCGATCAAGCTGGCTGAAACTTTCTCTCCCTCTTCTTCTCATGCTACCTGTCACTCTCCTTTAACTCCTCCGGTGACTTTCTTTTATTTGAAGATAGTTTTTTGCCCGGCGCTCACGGGCAAACGGGAGCCTGCTCTCGCTGGCTCCGCAGCAAACAGCGGTTTACTGCGGAGCCACAGTAAACAGCTGTTTGCTTTTCACCCAACAACGACCACCGCCTCACGAAACGCTATGTTGTAGCGTTAATAAACGAAACAATTTAACAACATTGCTTGTCAAAATACCTATACCACAGGACAATTTTATTTTTTTTAAGCAATGTTTTTAGTGGCCCTAGCGGGCAATTGGAAAGTACGTTATGCTGGCCCGGGGTGTCTAAATAGTGCTTCCGAGCCAGCGGGCCATTTATAATGTCGAGCCCTGCTCTCTGTCACTGTGCATGTGTGTAATGTTTGTGTGCAAGTTAGACGGGGCCTGCGTGTGTGCCTGCGTGTGTGACTATGTCTATGAGGGAGCAAAGGGATGATGGAAGATGTGTAAAAANCCTTTACCATTCAATTAAACACATCCAATGTTTATTTATTGTAAAAGCAAGAGAGAGAGAGAGAGAGAGAGAGAGAGAGAGAGATATTAAAAAAGCCCAATTGCTTTTACAATAAATAAACATTGGATGTGTTTAATTGAATGGTAAAGGGGTTTAACGTTAGTGGCGGGTTTAGTGTGAGAGAGAATAAATAAGACAGCCCAATATTTAAAAAATATATATTTAGCATATTTCGCAACTTTCCGCTTCGGAAAACATTGAAATATTGTCGTCTGTTTTCGTTTCATGTTTGCTTCCTGTTTAGCGCTCCGCGAACTTGAATGGTGGACGGATCAAATTCTGATAACGTTAGAGAAACGTGGGGTTTGTCAGAGCCGAACAAAGTGTGTTGCTGTTGCTTAGCAACAGGCCACAGGCGACGGAAGCCCCAGACGTCCAAAAGTATTAACACAAAGGGGCGAAAGCGTGAAAGCGAAGTCACAAAATTATGTTTTTACGTATCATCGCTAATTTTTAAGAGGGTATACGGAAATCATTGGCATTTTCTACTGGGTATACGCAGGGCCGCCCCTCCCTACAGGCCAATCACGCAGGCTGCATGGGGCCCCGCCTTGCGCAGGGGGCCCCGCCCAGAGGGCCTCAGCTCCTGTGCGCTGTTCTCCGCTCAGTTCTCCGCGCACACCCCGCGAGAGTGAGAGAGAGGTGACAAGGGGAGCTCGTCTTTAACCCGACACCGTTGCAATGAATCGAAATCTGACCAATCACGCCTTTGATACGGCCACTAGTGCAGGTGAAGAGATGACGGTGAAAAGACAGTTTCAGTCCGGCGCAAGCAAGAGGGGAAAAACAAAACATGAAGAAACTAGAGCATCACTCGAAGGTGGGTTATTGTATGAGTCAAATGTACAACTTGCGAATGTTGTATAAGTCAAATTAC